TCCCAACCCTCTAGTTCCTCCAAGCCCTAGAACCAGTTTAGAAACTCCTTCAGTGACCCAGATTCGGGACTTTTCTCTATTTTTTTTGCTCATGGTTGGATGTTTGTTTTTCTTTTTGTGGTCTGTTTTGTAGAAACATCTCCTAATCAATGACAATGTGCTTTGTTTTCTCTTGTTCTATGAAACTTCTGATCTTAATAGTTAAATTTCTGTGAAGCTGATTATTGATTAACTAAATCATGTTTTCACTTGCAGTTGCCCCAGTGACCATGAGTAATAATTAACATCTGGGATTCTAATAAAATGCAACTTTTCGATGATGCCAAAAGGGGGAAGAGATATTGTGGTTTACTTTGTGTTCTGAAAAATGTGATGTTTATAACCTGATTAAACCTGGTCCTTAATGATAAGTTAAATTAAAGTGTGAAAATTAAGCTGAGTTCCACAGGGTCTCTGATCAATAAAAGCACAGAGTTTGTCATCATCAAAAAGGGGGAATTTGTTGGCCCAAGTTCAGATGAAGTTTTGAAGATTGACAAAATGAACTCAGTTATGAACCAGGTCCATCATGTGAGACACAGTGTTGATATGCTTACACATGTGACATACGCGTGAAGAAGATAAGTCTCAAGGATCAGCAACAATATCTTCTGAATTGATCGAAAAGATTGCATATAGGATAAGGAGTTGAAGTCTCCTTATGAAAAGAGAATTATATCCGGATCAAGAATATGGATTAGGAGTTAGTGTTGTTCTTGGACTCGAATTGTCAAAGGATCCACAATTCGAGTTCTTATAAAACTCTGATTACTAACTCTATAAATATAACGATTGTTCTCTTTTACAGGTAGTTGCACATAAGCAGAAGTTAAGCATATTTGAGAGCAAAAAGATCAAGTCTGATTTGCAAGCAGCATATGCGAGATACAAGTGTGCACGTCTGAAGCTACATGAACTAAGATAGAAGAACCAGTTTCATCATTGTGTTTATTCTAAGTTTAGTTCAATTGTAGTAGGTTTTCATATTGTACCTTTCAGCTTTATCTAGAAGCAATTGTAATAGGTATATTGAGTATTCAAGTTAGAGTTAACTTGAAAGTGTCGCAACAGTTGAGGCTGTGTGCTACACTGGGATTAGAGTTAATCCTTAGGTTTACAAAGAGTTTTGTAAAAATGTAGTTTTTGGCTCAGTGATTTTAGTGGAGTTTGGGAAAATCGTACTGAGTAGTAGGTCGTGGTTTTTTCACCTTTTGAGCCAGGTATTTTCCACGTAAAAATCTCTGTGCACTTTACTTTCAGTATTTATTATTCCGCAAACTGCTGTAGTTAGAACACTTAGAAGAACCAGGTTCTTCTAACGCGAAAATTAGGTACCACACAAATCACCCCCCCCTCTTGTGTGGTATTGACGTTTATAACAATATGTATCCTCAATATCCTTGGTTGACTATAGTATCTCTTCTACAACATCGTCATCCTCAAAATCTAGTGTGATTGATTGTTGGTGTTCTACTCTAGCCTCCTCCTCTAGCTCATCAATTTCTGTATCTAATTCACGCTCTTCTTGGATACTATTCACAATATTGGCTTGTTGAGCATTAAAAACTTCAACCTGTTGACTCATGTGAACTTTCAAGTTGTGAATAGTTTCCTCCTGCCTTTCTATCCGCAGTAGTAATTTACTCTGTTGTTCCAAAATGCACTTTAACATATCTTCGATCTTCTTTAGGTCAGCTTCCCTGGGTTCTTTGTTCCTATTAACTTCACCAGAGAAAGAAGAACCATCAAAGTAAAGGGTTGGTGGAAGGTAAGAAATATAAGCACAACCGTGAAAGTGACCATCTTGACCACCACACATATCACACACATTCCACACATAAGATTGAGTTGGTGCAATAAACTCGCTCTCGGGAATATTTTGATAATTTTGCCCTGGGTGGTTTCCTTCACAATATGCATAAGGAGGATCAAAAGTAGAATTACCAACAACAAAATTCTCATAATTCCATGATGTCATGTTTCTCAAATAAACAAATAAAAGTAAAATAAAAAAATAAAAAAATCAAATAATAAAACAAAAGTTCAAACTTGAAACCTAGCAATATGTACACCTACAACTACACCGTTAGTTCCCCGACAACGGCGCCAAAATTTAATCACGCCCAACTATGCCTTATAAAAAGGACAATGCGATCGTTGCAAATATAATCCGGTTTACAAGTCCGGAGTCGAATCCCACAAAGAACTAAGGTTTAGCTACAGCTGTTCACTATCACCAAGAAGACAAGCTTGAACAATTCCTAACTTATAGATATTAAGATTCTTGTGTTTAACTAATTAACTAACAAATTAAAATAGTAAATTAACAACTAACGACACTGAGGGTTAGAGAAAAGATTAAGGAGGTCTAGAGTTATGATTTCCCTTATTGTCGGAATCCTTCCCGCTATGTCTTCTATAATTTCGCCTAAGTATTCTCTACCGATCATGAACACTCTTATTATCGTAAATCTCTCCCGAGTAATTACGACAATTTACTAGACGGACTCTCCCGAGCTACGCTAGCTGGCTTTTAATACAGCTCACTTCAGATTGCACCCAAGGCTTCGTTATCCCTAATCCCACCTTTAAACCCTCGGTTATTGATCCATCATATACTTTGGGAGTGGTGTTGTTTAACAATTACCTAAATATGCACTCTCTCCCGAGTTATGCATACTAAATAGGCACAACTAATTGAGAGCTCTTCAACCAACCACAATATAAACGTAGTTGAACAAATAGAGAAAAGCTATGGCTCAATTATATAAAAACATAATAAGAATTTATCCTACAAAAGGTTCTATCAAAACTCTAGATAACAAATTAGCTATTCATAATAGTATGTAAAACTACAATACTAAAAGTCATAACCAACAATGAAAAATAGGAAGAGGAAGGAAAAAACTCGTAGAAGAATTCTCCGCCTTGCTCCTAATGTGTTATTGCCTCCAAGGGTGTTGTCTAACCCTAAAGTAGTGTCTCCTGCCTCCTTAGGTCTAATTTGTGTCCAAAATATGTCCCCCTCTCCTTCAAAATAGGTCTAGGACCCCTTTTATACAAGTTGGAATAGTGTAGGGCCGAAATAAACTTGTCCCGGGCGAAATAGGATTTCTTTTTGACGCCTGGAGGGGCGCGGCCGCGGTCAAAACGTGGTAGGACCGCGGCCAGACAAGCTCTCTGATTTCTGCCGCGGTCAGTTCCGCGGTCGCGGTTTCGACCGCGTTTTTCACCCTGTTCCGTTTGGAATTTGAAAACACGTAAAACATGAAAGTTGTATCCCTTTGAATTAGCTTTACAACCATGTATTGTGGAGCCCAAATGGAGTTCTGAGAAAAAAGTTATGTCTATTTTACTAGACAGTGCGCAATATGCCTCCTCAAGTCTTCGTTCGTACTTAATTATCAAATTTGACCCCCGAACACGATCCCGGCTTAATTCCTTGAGCTTTTACTCAGACTTCAAAGCTTCAAATCACTTAAATTCATTCCATAACATCTATATAGCTCGGAATCACACCTACAAGGCATAAAACACACAATTAGTGCAAACTCAATTAAAGTGCTGTAAATTCGAGTGTAATAAGCGACTAAAATATGCAATTATAGCCTATCATCACCTGTCTTAACTTTGTTGTTTTAGCAGGGAAAAATATTTATTTAAAAATTTCTGAGTCATTTGGTCCCATGTGGTAATAGACCCTTGCGGCAAACTTCGTAACCAAGTTTTGGCCTCTCCTTTTAAAGAAAAAGGAAATAAGCCTTAACTTAATTGCTTCAGGAGGTACTCCATTATACTTTGCAGTTTCAACTAATTCTAAAAAGTCAATTAAATGACTATGTGGATCTTCACTTAGATCACCAGTGAAAATGCAAGATTGTTGAATTGTTTGAATCAGGCATGTCCTGATTTCAAAGTTTTTGGCTGCTACTAGAGGTTTTCTGACACTAGATTCACAGTTAAAGTGATCAGGTCTAGCGTAATCCCTTAGGATTCTGTTTGCTGGTCTTGGCGCCACTTCATCAAACTGCTCCTCTACATGAGCTGGTGGTGGAATTTGTAGTGGATTGTTATCATCTTCTAATTGGTGCTCCATTCTGTTACAAGTTATGTTTTGAGACGATATTTGTCCTTTCCTGCACAATTGCAAAGTTTTTTCAATTTCAGGATCGTAATTGGTCAACTCTTTTGCAGAAGAGCGGGTCATAAACTATCTGAAATTAAAGTAAAATAAAGACAGTTCCTAAAATAGTAATAGATAGATTTAAAAATGACTTAAAAAAAACTTAGTACGGTAATATTATAGTTAACTAAAACAGTAGGTTGTAACTACCCATCAAAAGAAATAATATAATACTAATTATATTATATGAAAAAAAAAATCAATAATAAATCAAGTAATGTTGAAGGATTAAAGTACTAATCAATTAAAAAAAGTTGAATAAATATTATTTTATAAAGATAAAGTAAAGTAATAGTTATAATAGTAATATAGAATAGTACAAAGGATACTTTTAGAACTAGAATAGTAAAAACAAGTACTTACAATTATAATAATAATAAAAATAATAAAATATACTTAAAAAATGACAAATAAAAAAAAATGAGATTGTGAATCACAAAACTAATATATTATACTATTATATAGATGTTAGTACTAACAATAATAATATAATAATAAAATATAAAATAGAGTGGGTTGAAGTACTAACTATGAGGGATTTTTTTTTTATATGCTCTTTTTTTTTCAATCTTATATAGAATTGCTCCTAATAATAGTACAATTATGATAGTAGTATGTAGGAGATAACATTTTGAAGGAAAAATTAACAATAATAATAAATTCTCAAATTAGTAATAAAATATTTAATCTGAAGTAGATGTGTGCCAATCCCCGGCAACGGCGCCAAAAATTTGACGAAGCTTGTGTGTATAGGATTTGCTGCTCGTACTCTATCAAATTCTAGTATAGTTTATGATATCGTCCCACAGAGATTCGACAATCTAAGCTACAGACTTGTAATATTTTGACTACTATTTGAGAGAACCAAATTGATGAAAGGTGTGTTTGGAATTATAAATTAAGACAAATTTCTTCCGAAAAGTTTATATTTAAAAAGAGTTGGGAATCGTTGAATTCAGTTGATATATCATTACAATAAAATCTCAGTTTTATACGTATTTCTCTAAAGAATAATTGCTTATTGCTAATACAATTATATTTTTAAACTAAGAAATAAATAAATAATTAACACTCCGTGAGTTTATGTCAATTAATTAATATAAAACTAGTGACGATTAAACTGAAATATCTTGCCTGAATTGTGCTCAAGCGTAGTAAAAACTTCGTGAGAATATTTTTACTAGAAAATCAATAATCTTGCCTTCAACAATTTCTCCGTGAGAATTAAAACTGAGGAAAGCAAGATTACAGGCTTGAAACAATAATCTTACTAAAAATTATTTTTAACTCTAATATTTTGTGCTCAAGTGTAGTAAAAACTTCGTGAGAATATGTTTACTAGAAAATCAATAATCTTGCCTTCAACAATTCCTCCGTGAGAATTAAAACTGAGGAAAGCAAGATTATAGACTTGAAATAATAATTTATTAAAAATTACTTTCACTCTAATATTCTATTCATCAGTTATTATATATTAATTTTGCTCCGTGAGAATTACAAAATTAATATAAGAATAACTCAGATATAAAATATGTAGATGTGATAATAATGATTAAAAAATCATCATTCCATCACAATATGAAATGTATATAGAGTTTCAGGCCAAGAATGTATTGAAACTGAGATAGTATTATAATTATATCAAACTTCATCAACTATCCCAACAAAAAGAAATTACTCCATTATGAAGTAACAAAAGCTAAAAATACTTTCAAAAGACTAAGAATATTTTTACTAAAAAGAGAAATATTAGAGGAAGAGACCAAGATTACTCTTCTCTTTCTCTTTAGAAACTTAGAAAAAACTAGATAGAAAATTGGATACAAAGAGGGATGCTCTTTCATCTACAAACATATGGCTATTTATAGGAAAATTCCTACAAAGCCTTGGTGAGAAATTACAATATAATATTAATATATCATATGGCCTTGATGAGAAATTGATATGGCAATTTGTCTTGAAATTTTGGTGAGAATTTGCCATAACCTNCCGCTTCTGCGGATCTCACCATTCCGCTTCTGCGGCCTCGTTTTCGCCTATGCGGACACGCTGAAGCGATACCCCGTCCGCTTTTGCGGAATTACCCCGGTCCCTCATGGACCGCTTATGCGATCTCTTAGCCGCATTTGCGGAACCGCTTCTGCGGCTCCTTTTCCGCAGATGCGGAAATACCAGAAGCCAGGTGCACCAGACCTGCAACAAACATCAAGATTCTCCGTTTAACCACCCGAAATCACTCCGAGGCCCCCCGGGACCTCAACCAATAGCACCAACACACCCCAAGACCTTATTCAAACTTGTTCCAATCATCAAAACACTATCGTTAACATCAAAATCATCGAATTACCACGGATTCAAGCCTAAGTTAAACTAAAACTTCTGAAACTTGCATTTGATCTAAAACCCGTCCTAAACACCTCCGAATGATCTGAAACTTTGCACGCATATCCAAAATCACCTAACGGAGCTACTGCAACTCTCGGGATTCCATTCCGACCCTCGGATCAAAATCTCACCTACCATCCGGAATTCACCAAATCCAACCTTAGCCAATTCAAGCCTAATTCTACACCGGACCTCCAAATTCAATTCCGAGTGCGCTCCTAAGTCACAAATCATCCCCCGAAACTAGTCGAATCATCGGAAATCCATTCCGAGCCTTCTAACTCATAAGTCAACATTCGGTTGACTTTTCCAAACTAACCTTCTCATAAAGAGACTTATTATCTCATTTCTAACCGAACTCTATCCGAATTACTTCAAATTCTCCAAACACGTATAATGAAACATATAGAAGCATAAAACGGGGAAAACGGGGCGGTAACTCCCGTAACGACGGGTCGGGTCGTTACAGACCCTTGCGGCAAACTTCGTAACCAAGTTTTGTCCTCTCCTTTTAAAGAAAAAGGAAATAGCCTTAACTTAATTGCTTCAGGAGGTACTCCATTATACTTTGCAGTTTCAACTAATTCTAAAAAGTCAATTAAATGACTATGTGGATCTTCACTTAGATCACCAGTGAAAATGCAAGATTGTTGAATTGTTTGAATCAGGCCTGTCCTGATTTCAAAGTTATTGGCTGCTACTGGAGGTTTCCTGACACTAGATTCACAGTTAAAGTGATCAGGTCTAGCATAATCCCTTAGGATTCTGTTTGGTGGTCTTGGCGCCACTTCATCAAACTGCTCCTCTACATGAGCTGGTGGTGGAATTTGTAGTGGATTGTTATCATCTTCTAATTGGTGCTCCATTCTGTTATAAGTTATGTTTTGAGACGATATTTGTCCTTTCCTGCACAATCGCAAAGTTTTTTCAATTTCAGGATCGTTATTGGCCAACTCTTTTGCAGAAGAGCGGGCCATAAACTATCTGAAATTAAAGTAAAATAAAGACATTTCCTAAAATAGTAATAGATAGTTTTAAAAATGAATTAAAAAAATTAGTGCGATAATATTATAGTTAACTAAAATAGTAAGTTGTAACTAACCATCAAAAGAAATAATATAATACTAATTATATTATATAAAAAATCAATAATAAATCAAGTATGTTGAAGGATTAAAGTACTATCAATTAAAAAAAGTTGAATAAAATATTATTTTATAAAGATATAGTAAAAGTAATAGTTATAATAGTAATGTAGAATAGTACAAAGGATACTTTTAGAACTAGAATAGTAAAAACGAGTACTTACAATTATAATAATAATAAAAATAATAAAATATACTTAAAAAATGACAAATAAAAAAAAATGAGATTGTGAATCACAAAACTAATATATTATACTATTATATAGATGTTAGTACTAACAATAATAATATAATAGCAAAATATAAAATAGAGTAGGTTTAAGTACTAACTATGAGGGATTTCTTTTTTTTCTTTTTTTTATATGCTTTTTTACAATATTTTATAGAATTGCTCCTAATAATAGTAACAATTATGATAGTAGTATGTAGGAGATAACATTTTGAAGGAAAAATTAACAACAATAATAAATTCTCAAATTAGTAATAAAATATTTAATCTGAAGTAGATGTGTGCCAATCCCCGGCAACGGTGCCAAAAATTTGACGAAACTTGTGTGTATAGGATTTCTCTGCTCGTACTTTGTCAAATTCTAGTATAGTTTATGATATTGTCCCACAGAGATTGGACAATCTAAGCTACAGACTTGTAATATTTTGACTACTATTTGAGAGAACCAAATTGATGAAAGGTTTGTTTGAAATTATAAATTAAGACAAATTTCTTCTGAAAAGTTTATATTTAAAAAGAGTTGGGAATCGTTGAATTCACTTGATATATCATTACAATAAAATCTCAGGTTCATACGTATTTCTCTAAAGAATAATTGCTTATTGCTAATACAATTATATTTTTACACTACGAAATAAATAAATAATAGCACTCCGCGAGGTTATGTCAAGTAATTGATTTAAAACTAGTGACGATTAAACTGAAATATCTTGCCTGAATTGTGCTCAAGCGTAGTAAAAACTTCGTGAGAATATTTTTACTAGAAAATCAATAATCTTGCCTTCAATAATTTCTCCGTGAGAATTAAAACTGAGGAAAGCAAGATTACAGGCTTGAAACAATAATCTTACTAAAAATTATTTTTAACTCTAATATTTTGTGCTCAAGTGTAGTAAAAACTTCATGAGAATATTTTTACTAGAAAATCAATAATCTTGCCTTCAACAATTCCTCCGTGAGAATTAAAACTGAGGAAAGCAAGATTATAGACTTGAAATAATAATCTTATTAAAAATTACTTTCATTCTAATATTCTATTCATCAGTTATTATATATTAATTTTGCTCCGTGAGAATTACAAAATTAATATAAGAATAACTTAGATATAAAATATGTAGATGTGATAATAATGATTAAAAAGTCATCATTCCATCACAATATGAAATGTAAATAGAGTTTCAGGCCAAGAATGTATTGAAACTGAGATAGTATTATAATTATATTAAGCTTCATCAACTATCCCAACAACAAGAAATTACTCCATTATGAAGTGAGAAAAGCTAAAAAATATTTTCAAAAGACTAAGAATATTTTTACTACAAAGCGAAAGGTTAGAGGAAGAGACCAAGATTACTCTTCTCTTTCTCTTTAGAAACTTAGAAAAAACTAGATAGAAAATTGGATACAAAGAGGGATGCCTTTCATCTACAAACATATGGCTATTTATAGGAAAATTCCTACAAGGCCTTGGTGAGAAATTGCAATATAATATTAATATATCATATGGCCTTGATGAGAAATTGATATGGCAATTTGTCTTGAAATTTTGGTAAGAATTTGCCATAACTTTGTATCTCTTGACTTTGTCTAGTCTTGGATGAAATTGTCACGGATGCATCATTCTTCCCTTGAGCTGTAGTTTCTTTCTTTTTCTCTTTTTCCATGTATTCTTTTTCCTGCAAGAATTGTTAGAAAAGTGCGAGAATAGGATATAAATTGGTCATGTTTTATATCTAAAATATTATATTTCTTTATTAAAATATAAAATAATTTATATCTATCATGTATGGCATGTAACATTGACTTGATAAGAACACTTTTCAGAAGAAGATTCTTTCTCTCTAGCAAAGATACAAACTATACCTTTTTCTATATTCTTGCACACATTATCCTACATATCTCCATCAGATCCGAGAATAGTTCTAACATTCGAGGATTTGTCTGTCATTCATCATTGTCAGAAGGAATAATCATCCACCTCATTTATTTTTGGGTGAATCGTTCCCCCTATTTATATTAATGCCATTTATTGCTTGATATCCCTCCATTATTGCTGACATCTTTTGGAATATTAAATGTGCATTACTTTTAGTTTTCCACCGACTTTATCTTACATAATCCATGATGTCAAGTTCTAAATCTAGGATTATTATCACTAACTAGGTTTAAACCCTCATTATATAAAATTAAATAGTTTAACCGAAAATTCATATTTTTTTGTCAAACAATAGTGGGCTAATCTTAAGCAGAAAAAATAAGAAGCAGTTATAAGAAAGTTAAGAAATTTTGCCTCTGTCTGGTTGAAGATGAGTTTAATGGTGATGAAGAGTCTAAAGGGTCGGTTTGGAAATAAGTTATCCATGATCAATTATTTCGAATTAGTTATCCTGAAATTAGTTATCTCACCCTCCCATTGGGATAAAAAATTACAACAATTCCGAGATAACTAATCTCAGGATTAGTTATACTACGATTTTACCCCAACAAAATATGAAATAAATTCATCTCAAATTTAATTACGAGATTAATTATCCCTTATCCCTAGTCCTAAGGCTTCACTGACGAACATCTTTAAAGGGAATAGATTGTCGAGAAAAAAATAAAATATTCAGATCGGCGAGAGAGACATTATTAGGAATGAAATTGAGGTAGATTATAAGGGTAAAAATGAAATATCACTAACTTTTTTAGCTGAAAAATGCTTTGGAATTACTTCTCACGCGCTCAAATGTGAAGACAACACACACAGTGTGCCAGGTTAGTTTCGAGTGTCTACGAAACACATGTGCTTTGTTAAGTTGAAGTGTCTACTTGATCATTGAGTAAAGTCAAGAGCCCGTTTGGTTTTGAAACTTTTTTTACTTTTTTTTTTTCAAAATCAATGTTTGGCCATAAAAATTTTAATTTTTACTTGAAGATGAATTTTGGAATTTTCACTTAGATCATTCATAAAAATTAAAAAAAAATCCAAAATTATATTAATGTCCAAACACAATTCTAATTTTTAAATACCATTTCACTTTTAATAAAATTTCACTTTTGTTTTTTGGAATTTTACCATTCTTATTTCCAAACGCCACCAAGTGTCAAACTGACAGTTGGGGCAATGTGTTTTTGTCTATTTTGTCGCCCTATAACCATTGTTTATACTAACTACTAGTACCTACTTTTGTCTTTCACATGAAAAGAAGTGCAATAAAAAATGAACAAAAGACCATTATTAGAGGTAGTAAGATAACTAATATACTACTCAATTCATCAGTGTAGCATTTAATCATTGTTTATTACTCCACTTTATTATCTTTCACATTGAAAGGAATGCACTTACAATTGAATAAAACCATTTAGTAATTCACAAGAAACTAGGCAGAAGCCAAACAGATCAACTTTCTTTCTTGAAATTAAACAGTGGATGAGCTCTGCTAAGAGGTGAGCTTTTTCTCTTTTATTTTAGTTAGTCTGTGTTATTGAAATCAATTAATTTTTGCTTTTTAGTTGCAGGACGCTAGCCGGTTTTTATTTCCTGTACGTTTGAGTAATTCAATCACTTTACAAAAGGTGTTTTCTGTTGGGGTTTTGAAGATAAATTTCCACCACTACGAAAGTAAGTAGGCGTTTGGACATAAGAATTGTGAAATGGTATTTAAAATTTAGAGTTGTGTTTAGACATAAATTTCAATTTGGGTTGTTTTTGAAGTTTTGTGAATGATTTGAGTGAAAATTTTAAAAAATAATTTTTTGTAGTTTTTCAGATTTTTAAAAAATTTCAAAATGTATCTTCAGGTGAAAATTTAAATTTGATGAACAAAAGCTGATTTCGAAAAAAAATTAAATTTTTTTTGAAAAAATCTTCCATTAAATTTTATGTCCAAACGGGCACTTAAGTTGTACTTACTGTCTTTCTTTAATTCTTTTGCTTATTTGATTTCTTTTCATTTCTTTTTTCTTGGTCCAAAGCTTGAAACTGAAAAGGGTATTTGAATTAACAGCTTGAGTAATGAATACAAGTCAATTGATCTTTCTTCTTTACACAAAATCTTACTTTTAATTTTTTTTTGTTAGCTTGAGGAAAAGTCTCAGTGAGTTAGCTTATCTAACCCCATTTGGCCCCAAGTAATCTCTTGTTTTTATCAAGACGGATTGAGGAAATTTCATCTGCTATGAAGTCATAAAAAATTCTTCCAGATTCAAAATTATTATTTTAAATGCGACTGCATATCATTAAAAAAAAAAAAATTTAAATCCGGGTGAACCTAGTTAAGCTGTGGCAGGTCAGATTCATTATCGTTTTATTCCCAAGTTATTCTAAAAAGAAATTCTTGTTATTAATCTGTTAGAACTAGTTAACAACAATTACTATCAAACAGGTGTGTAGAAGTGCATTAATTAAGTAGGTGTTTGGGCATAAAAGTTGTAATTTTTGAAAAGAAGTAGTATTTGGAGTTAAGTTGAAAATTGATATTTGGAATTTGAATGATATTTGGAGAAAAAACTCATTTTTCGAAAATTTTTCAAAAACTTACAAAATTTCACGAACAAACACGTTCTAAAAAAATGGAAAAAAGAAAAAAAATCTATGGACAAATGGGTTAAGGACCAAAAG